TCTGTGCAATGGTTTTGCACAGAGCTGCCCCGATCCTCTTCTTCTGGTGTACCGCCTCCTGGCTCTTATCCCTTGCCACTTGCTATTGAGGAAATTGTACAGGCTTTCTCCCGAGCCAGACTATGCGTCCATTGACATACAGAGTGCGGCTCAGCCCCATCCCCCGGTCTCTGCTCACTGGCTATGATTGAGAACAGAACACACTGCTGCCTCTCTGTCCAATGAGAGAGAGCCACTACTCTCATACACACCGCTGGATCGGCATTGCACGCAGGAAAATATAAGGGTGGGGGGTAATTAACATTAATATGTGATAAAGTGCTTGTGAGCTAAAATGTGGTATTTTATATATAAACTTAAATAATGAAATAACTATAATAGTGGTGCATCAACACTGAAACACACTCATAAAACTGTGCAAATATATTTATATTTATTTTTCATCATAAATTCACTGTGGAGCGCGACACATATTTTTTATTTTTATTAATATATAAGGGGGGGGGGGGGGGCTGTGTGGAGAGCTACAAGGATGAGGTTCTTTGCCTATATACATAGAATGCATTCAGGCACAAAGCATTTTACCTTTAGAACCACTTTAACTATCCTAACTGCTCTAGTGCTATATTTGCATGTATCAGGTCACTGGGGATGACTAAAGGAGTAGCATCTGCTCACTTTCAAAAGTGAATGTTCACTGATCCTAGCAAATAAGATGAAGATGTGTTCACTTTAAGCACCCAAGCACAGGCAGTTAAAAAAACAGGGTTTTTCTATTGCATGTGGTTGAATGATTAAAGTGAATGCAGCTTCACCACATTACATAAGAAACATTCACTTTCCCAAGGAAACAACCTCTACTCCTTTACTAAATCAACCCCATTGCGTTCAGCAAGAAATAGCCATCTTGTTCTTCACTGTATATGAAGAATAGCCCCCTGAGGAATTGCCCTTTGGTATATTTTTTCATGTTTTTGCCAGCAGGCAATGTGTATAAGTCCAAAACATTCTGTGCTTTTCTATTGCAAACAAGGGACTTAAAAAGAGTTTGGATACAAACTTTCCTCCTGCGGCTGTTTCCATTTGTGGTCTCTCAAGCCACATACAGCTGCAAGAGACGAAACTCTTTGCTTTGCCAATGTTTTACAATATAGTAAAAATATAAAAGATATAATACCCCAAAACAATTTAAAGCAAACCCCCAATGCATAACAAGATATTAAACAATTTCAAAAGTACAGTCGTGGTCACAAATATTGGCACCCCTGCATTTCTGTCAGATAATGCACCATTTTGCCCAGAAAATTGTTGCAATTACAAATGTTTAGGCATTCTCATGTTTATTTCTTTTGTTTGTATTGGTATCACACAAAAAGTGGAGAAACAAAAAGCCAAATTTGACACATTCCACACAAAACTCCAAAAATAGAATGGACAAAATTATTGGCACCTTCCAAAAATTTTAAGAAATTATTGCATTCCAAGTTTGTGATGCTCCTGTAATTTGTAACTAAACTCACCTGTCAATGAACAGGTGCTGACAATGTAGAAGTCACTCCGGAAACCTGTTAAAATCAAGAAAAATGTACTCGACCTGTTGCGTGTCTCTGTGTGCCACATGGAGCATGGAAAAGAGAAAGTGTAGCAATTAATTGTCTGAGGATTTGAGAAATTGTGGAAAAGCATGGACAATCTCAAGGTTACAAGTCCATCTCCAGAGATCTTAATGTTCCCATGTCCACTGCACACAGCATTGTCAGACGTTTACAGCCCATGGCACTGTAGATAATCTCTCTGGAAGTGAATGAAAGAAAAGTATTCAGACAAATTCAAGCTGACCTTCAGGCACAGGGAACAACTGTGTCAGCTTGCACTATACGTAGCCATCTGAAAGAAAATGGACACTATGGTAGGAGACCCAGGAGGACCCCACTGCTGAAACAAACATAAAAGTCAGATTGGAGGTGGCCAAAACTTAACTTAGGAAACCAAAATCCTTTTGGGAGAATGTGCTGTGGACAGATGAAACGGCTTTTTTGTAAAACTCATACTACTGTTTTCATAAATAAAAATTAAGCCTTTCAAGTAAACATACAGTCCCTACAGTCAAATATGGTTGAGGCTCACTGATGTTTTGAGGTTGCTTTGCTGCTTCAGGCACTGGATGTCTTGACCATGTGCATGGCATTATGAAATCTGAAGACTACCAAAGAATTCCAGGGTGCAATGTAGGGCCCAGTGTCAGAAAGTTGGGTCTCCATCAGAGGACATGAGTTTTACAGCAGGACATTGACCCGAAACACACATCAAACAACACCTAGAACTGATTTCAGACAAAGCGTAGGAGAGTACTGAACTGGTCAGATCTCAATCCCATAGAGCACCTGAGGAGAAATCTCAACACAGCAGTTGGGAAAAGGAACCCTTGCAATCTGAGAGACCTGGAGCAGCTGATGGAAGAAGAGTCCAAAATTCCAGTAGAGAGGTGTAAGAAACTCATTGATGGTTACAGGAAGCAATTGATTTCAGTTATTTTTTCCAAGGAGTGTGCTACCAAATATAAAAATTAGGGTGCCAATAATTTTGTCCAGTCCATTTTTGGGATTTTGCATGGAATGTATCAGATTTGGCTTTTTATTTCTTCATGTTTTTTGTGTCATACCAATACAAACTAAAGAAATAAACATGAGATTGCCTAAACATTTGTAACTGCAATAATTTTCTGGGCGAAGTGGTGCATTATCTCACAGAAATGCATGAGTGCCAATGACTGTATATGTTATAGTCAAAAATACATTACTAAGAACATTAGGTTCTGGATTACTCAGTTGCTCATAGAGTGTTTACAAAATAAATACACCACGCTATCTCTAATTCTATAGGTCTCTACAGGTAGCGAAGGCACTTCTTGTCACAGGAACTGCAGTTGCTTAATATGTTGACAACTATGGAAGACTGTTGTGCTGAGAGAATTTTGGTGTCTGTTGCTAAATTATATTATTCATTAAATATATTATGAAATACTATTATCAAAATTCCTGCATATGACCTTTGGTGCTGGTTCACACTGGTGCAACTTGTCATGTGATTTGACAGTTCCAAATTGCATGACAAGTTGCACCCTATTTGTGCCTATGGAACTGTTCAAAACTGTGCGACTCTGACTTTGCAGTGCCGCACCAGTTTTGTAAAAAGGTTCCTGCACTATTTTTTGCAATTTCATATGTGACTTGCATAGACATCTGTGCATTAAGTCGCACAGATATCAGGCAAGTCGCACATTAAAAGGCACTGACCTGCGGCTTTGAAATCACACATATAGTGTGAACCAGAGCAAAACATAGGTCTACATCCTAGGGCTGTAAAAATTTATTTGCTGCAAGTAAAAAGTGAAGCCTTGAGATGTATACAGGCAGCACTGCCTAGCTGCTGAGATTTTAAAGGAGAAGTAGAGCCAAAGCTCTTTCGGCCATACTTCTCCCGCGAGTCACAAGAGTGTACTTAGTTCTGCATCCCTGTGACCCAGATTGAGCCGACAGCAGGCTAAAGTCCCCTGTCGGCTGATGTCACAAGGCCAGGCCATACTCTGGAGGGATCCTGACTTTAATATCAGGATCTACCCAGATGCCTGACTGGCAGCTGGCTCGGACTCTCAGTGTGCTGCTGAGAGCCTAAGCTAGTGGTGCCTGCCCCCTGTACAGCCTGGAGCTCCAGTGAGCTCTGGAGGGGCAAAGAACAGAGCGGCGGCTGATAATCACCACTCTGTGCTCAGTGTGGACCTGAGAACTGAGTGATCAGTGGTCTTTGATCACTTAGCTCTCGGGCTTAGAGGTGGCAGAGGCAGATGCAGCATCAGACTGATACGGTATCCACCTAGGTGAGTATGAAGAATTATTATTTTGAAATCCTACACTTTTCTGTTAACCTTTCACTCAGGCACTGCTGTACAACATCAGTCCACCTCACTGCTCAGTCCACTTACTTTATTGATAATCTGGTGATCTAATAACCCCGCTCTGGGAGGCAAGTTCACCTAATGCATGTCTCTCACGCTCAAAAAATAAAAGGTCCCAATTTTATTACATTTGTTAAATAAATTCCAACCTGCTTTGAAACTTATCCAACTGATCTCTATAATTATGTTCTAATTGCTCATATCACACAGCACTGCTTTCTGTAAAGGATGTGTAAATATCTCAGCAGTATGGGTATTAGTTGGGGTCAGGAGGCAAGTGTGATGGCACTAACAACAAACAAATCATTGCCTAGCATTATAAGAGGAAACTGCTCTCGCAGCTATAATACCAGATGTAATTTAAAGTTGCATATAATTTCAATTTCTATTCTCTGATTCTATTCTAATATAGTTGCAAACTATTGTTCTGGCAATGCTGCAAATAATATTACGTTTAAATATTCTCCTCTCGGATAATTCATAGATATTCCTTCTACATTATTACATATGACAGCTATTAATGTACGGAAATATGACTGCCTATTACTTTCATGAAAATTTGAAGGAAGTCCCTGTGCTTTATGTCTGGCTGATATATTGTTATGGCTTCACAGGTCAGCTGGAGGAATTTGCAAGGAATTATTTTTGAATATAAAATTGTTTAATATTTCCATGAACAAATATTAAAGTAGTTCATGTGCAGAAGACATATCTAAATAACCTGTTCAATATAAACCTACCTACTTAGGCCCCATGTACACGGAACACTTCTGAATGATGGAAACTGACTGCTGGAAAACGTACTGTAGGTTAAAAAACGTCTGTTTAGCTGCGTTTGCATAACACATTTGTGCACGTTTATGTGCGTTTGCGTTTAGAAGCACTTTTTAAAGATAAGCACAGGAGAACCTCCCAAATGCCCAGAATGCACTGAAAAGTGGTAAATTATTAACTATTTCAGACTGTTTCAGAGAAATACAGAGACTAGAAGCAGACACAGCAGTATGTGTTGATATAATTAGGTGTGAGTTGCTCATTAACATTTCTTTTGTTTCCAAGGGTGGGAAAGGTGTCTGGTGGAGTGAGTCATTAAGGTCACCTGGCAGGGGGTCTTCATGAAGAATTTGAGGTGTGAATGGTCATTAACATATCTTTTGTTTCCAAGGGTTGTGAGAGGTCTAAGGTGTGAATTGGTCATTACAATGTGTGACAACCTTGGTAGGAACATTCTGTGTTCAGTGTTTTGTCCATCTTGAAAACGCTTTGTGTGCATTTTTCATGATGAAAAAAGGCTCTGGACAGCATTGGGAACTGGAAGAGTTACAAAAACATTTTCAGATGCAAACGCTTATAAACACGATTTGCCGTGTTTAGACGCGTTTACAAGCTTTTTGCATTTGAAATGCTGATAAAATCGACTGCTGAATGCAAGTTTTCTGCGTTCAAAAAAACGATTGTAAACTCAAATGTCTGTAAATGATGTAAACGAAGATGTGTACATGGACACATAGGAAACCATTAGGGTGAGTTCACGGGATGTTGAAAAAAAAAACACTGAACAGCTCCTGAACGTGAGTTTATCAGCTGCAGTGTACATGAGTCCTTAGTCATTTTCAAACTCAGAAAGAAGAAAGTTTTACTCTTATAACTAGCACTTTCCTTTAATTCAAATCAGTTTTAAAGAGTATGCAGACTTTTCAGTTTTGGTTTACATATATCAAAGATCACTTCTTGATGTAAATAATCCTCTCAATATATGCTAATATCTATATGTACGTGTGGTCAGCCACATTTGCTCCTCACATATAAAAGGAACTGATTCTTGTTTTGCAATGCTACACAGCTGTTCTGATTTAATGCTTCTTATCACAATTTAAGTCTATGAGTCAGGTGACCCACTAAAAACAATATGTCAGCATTAGCCCTGAACCTTCACCATCTGCTGGCAATTAATCAGCACTGCAGCTTGCAGCCTCTTCTTTGTATGAGTTACATCATTAGTGTACCTTAACCACATCCATGCCGCCCTATAACAGATATACTGCTACAGGGCGGCAGGGATGTGCAAAATCACACACACACACACATATATATATATGTGATTTTGTATTTCTGGGCAGGGGGCGCACATGCCCTACACATGCCGCCATTCGTGGCCATGGCTGTCAATCATCGGGTCCTGGCCAGTGATTACCTGCCGGCTCCCAGTGATTACCAAGGATCTCTGACAGGGAGGAGGGCTGCTTTGTTTACTAACAGTCCTCCTCCCTGTCGTCTCGGGCACTGCTCTGGATGGCTGTACACAGCACAGCCATCCAGAGCAGTGTGCTTACAGTGAAGCGCACAGACACCGCCCCTAGTAAAACAATCCCAGCACACAGTTAACCCTTTGATCACCCTTCATGTTCACCCCTTCCTGCCCAGTGTCATTAGTACAATGTCAGTGATTTTGTTTTAGCACTGATCACTGTATTGGTGTCACTGGGGATGTCAGTGACACCAAGTCAGTTCCCCCCAGTGTCAGAATGCCTGCTGTAGTCCCACAGTCTCGCTATAAGCCGCTGATCCATGCCATTACTAGTGAAAAAAAAACAGTATATATACTGCCATTTGTATTTTATTTTTTGTGCTATAAATAAAAAAAAGACCAACCATTTTGAGAAAAAAAAACAATATTTTTGACTATTTGCTATTAAACATGTCCAGTAAAAAAAAATTATAAAAAAATCAAATTTTGTCATAAATTTAGACCAAAATGTATTCTGCTACGTGGCTTTGCTAGAAAAAAAATCCCAAATTAATTGGTTTACGTGAAAGCTATAGCGTTTACAAATGGTGGTATAGGTACTGGAATTTTAATTTTTTTGACTAATAATGGCGGCGATTAGCGACTTATAGCGGGACTGTGGCAGGCATTCTGACACTGGGGGGAACTGACTTGGTTTCACTGACATCCCCAGTGACACCAATACAGTGCTAAAAAAAAAAAAGCACTGACACTGCACTAATGGCATTGGGCAAAAAGGGGTTAACATGAGGGGTGATCAAAGGGTTAACTGTGTGCTGGGAGTGTTTTACTGGGGGGCGGTGTTGTTCGTGCTTCACTGTAATCACACTGCTCTGGATGGCTGTGCTGCGCACAGCTATCCAGGGCAGTGTGCTCAAGCCGATAGAGAGGAGGACTGTTAGTAAACAAAGCAGCTCTCCTCCCCATTGGATATCCTCGGTAATCACCGGTGGGTAATCATCAGCCGGGACCCGGTGATTGACAGCAGTGGCTGGTGGCACAGGTAGGGCATGTGCGTGCGCCCCCTACCCGGAGATTCAAAATCACTTATATATAGGTGATTTTGCGCACCCCTGCCGCCCTTTAGCAGTATATCTGCTATAGGGTGGCGGGGATGTGGTTAAGCTTTGGCAATAAAACTTGGAAGCTGATTGGTTTCTATACAGAAGTGCACTTGATTTTGCACTCTCACTCATAGCACAGTATTTACTAAAGTTAGAGAGTTTCCCATAAAATAAAAAGGACACAAAATGTGTATACACCATGAGCTAACACTTTTTCTGAGACTTCCATAAAGAAACAGTTAGTTACAAACTAAACAGAAACAAGCAACTGTTGAAAAAGTAAACACTTTAGTCAGGACATGTCATGTTATACACAACACAGCGTACAGAGTTCTTATGGTACTCTCTGGCAGGTAATGTCCATGTAATGTCTTACCCAAGCCACAGAGTTTAAGTGTCAGCTGGACCTCACCAGAGCACCTGATCATGGAGATGGGCAAGAATCCTTAGTGGTGTCAGGTTTACTTTGCTGCAAACTGGCACCATGTTGAAACCCTCAGGATTGCCCCACCAAAAGGTTGCTGAGTAAAAAAGTGCTTTAGTTGTGGAGACTGTCCATGATGTCATAGACAGGATAGTAGTTAGGTCCAATCAGAGGTCAAGGCAGGCAGCATAAAAGATAGCAGGTGGCAGGCAAAAGACCACTCCGGTCAAGCCCGGTTAACCACAAACAGGCAACTGACAGGTGAGTATTATATTTTTTTTTTAGCTCTCAGGTAGATAGTGACAAGATACTACACCAGCCACTTCAGAGGTTGGAACTTAAATACCCTTACAGGACTCCGGGAAGACCTAGCAAGCATCCTTTGAGAAATTCTGTGTATTTAATGTGCTATGCAACACATAGTTTAGCAGTCAGAATAATGCAATGCACAACATACTGTACCGAGTGCAACAGTAAGGAGTCATAGATAGTAAGCTCCAAGGAGCAGGGCCCTCGAACCCCTCGTGTATTGTATTGTTACTGTACTGCCTCGTGTACTGTCTCTCTCATTATAATGTACAGCGCTGAGCAAACTGTTGGCGCTATATAAATACTGTATAATAATAATAGGGTAACTTATACTGCTGTTCAGTAGGAGGAAAAATGGCCCTGCATCATTTGTGGGGGAGGGGGGAGCTAGTGGTCAGTGGGGGTAGGCAAAATGCAGGAAATCTGTGTTCCAGGGTTATGTACCAGGTAGGAATAATGGTAATATTGTGGGTTGTATGGCAACATTTTTATCTGATTATCAACATATAACAATAAAAAGAAGTTGCTGTGCAGAGGCCACAAACAGGTAAGCAGGGGTCAGATAATGGTGGTCATGGGCCAGAGAAAGCTGGACAGGAACCAGAGACAGCTGGGCAGGGGCCAGAGGTGGGAAGGGGCTAGAGGCAGGCAGAGGCAGAGAAAGGAAGGCAGGGGTCAGAGAAGGGTGAACAGGGGCCAGAGACAGTTGGGTAGCCATGACAGGGTCTGTGTTCCTGTGGAACATCAGTATAATGGTTCTGTGTATGGAAGATAACTCACAAAACATCCTGTACAGGTGGGAGGTCTCATTTTAATCCAGGAGCTTATAGTATGTATAATAAAATGATCTGCTGCCTTGTTTAGACATACAGCAAATGGGATAAAGCAGGTGATGTGGGACAAAGCAGAGGTACACAGGACTGCAGGTTTAAGGAGAAAATGTGGGACAGTTAAGCCCAATCCACAACTCTTGGGAGGTAAAATATGGCTGCAATGAGAGAAATAAGTAGGCTGCCATTACTAACCCAGCAAGGTCAGATTGAAATATAAATTCTTGACTTACATACTTTTTCCAAGTAAATGACTAAATGAGATTATCAAAGCCAAAAGGTCAGCAAAACAACCAGAGGATTACCATTTTCAAAAGAGGAGATAAGTAAAAGGAGTCTTTGAATTTTCCTAATCTCGGGTTTCCTTTAAGTTTCCTTTCTGCGTGATTTAGACTCAAGATTATGTATGGAGTTCTTTGGTACTCTTACTTCCAGTATTAAAATCCATCTACAGCCTCTAGTTTTTTTTTTTTGAGTGGTAAACTGACATTTTCTGTGCAAGCTGGCATGTTAAATGTCCTAAAATAATACTACCTCTTATCTTTTTGAATATAAAATGCAGCTGTGAAGTTGATTTCATTGCAATAGGAAGAGTGTTATCTATCAAAGGATGTGGATACCCAGTTTTACTGTCAGCATAAAACAGGTATTTACCGTATGATCAACTTAGCCAATTCTTATTAGCATGGGAAGCCTGCATCACATACGTGGTTTATAGTTTTATCATAGTTCTACTTTATCTGAAAAAGATTTACTATGTACTTATTGCCCTCTTCAACTCTCACTTCTGTACACCACCTACGAACCAAGGAATGTTTACATTTCTGCTATGGGTCTATTGATTCGGCAATAACTTTGTTATTTCTTAAGATAAAGTAATACATAAATTGTTTTTTAAAGACAAATAAGGCTTTCTGTTGGTGATGTAAGTAAAAGATAAGTGTCACTGTAGATCAGGAGTCTCCAAACTTTCTAAACAAAGGCTTTCAGGCTTTAGGGGGGGCGGACTGTGGCCATTGGGAGTAAACAATGCATCTTTGGCATTAGGGGAGGAATAGCGCCCTATTCATTGGTGTCAGAGGGAAGAATAGCGCCCCGTTGTTGGTATCAGTGGGAGGAATAGTGCAGCATGGTTTGTTTCAGTGAGTGGAATAGTGACTGTTGATGTCAGTAGCAGGAATTATGCCCCCTTGTTGGTAGAAGGGGGAGGAATAGTGTCTTGTATCACTGGAAGAAAAAGTGCCCCAAGGGCAGGATAAGGGCAAGCAAAGGGCCACATCTAGCCCCTAGGCCATAGTTTGGAGACCACTGCTGTAGATAATTAGAATATAGTGTATTGGTCCCATTAAAAATACCAGTAAAATCATGATTCTGGTACACAGCAAAGCTAGTAGTAGTCAGTTACATTCAGTTGGACCTATTCTATAATGTTGAAGATGTTTCATAGCTTCTCCAAGCCACTTCTTCAGTTCCAATGAGTGTCTGGAAGATACA